GAAAGTGCAACTCGTTCCTACCAAAAATATAAGATATCACAAATCGTGTTATTAATGGGGATAATTATTAAGTGGCCCGTTGAATCATTAATGCGGCCATCATTCCCAGTAGGGTTTTGTAATCTACGTCCTTGGTTCCCCAAAATTTCCAGCCGTGACAATGACGTCGGAGGCAGACTCACCATTGACGTCGGAGGGAGTCCAAGAAAACGCTGGTGCCGGAACCAGTCACACCACCCAGGAAGATAATATCGCCGATCTCTTATTGCTACAGCCTGAAGATATTAAAAAAATGAAGTTCGATGATACAGAAGAAGCCTATGATTTCTACATGGACTACGGGTTAGTCAAAGGCTTCGACATCAGAAAATCAGACATTGGTCGTGATAAGAACAAAGTTATGATATGGCGTGACTATGTATGCTCTGGCGAGGGAAAGAGGCGCATGAAGAGCACAGAACGAAAGAGAGAAGCAAGAGGGGAGACCAGATTTAACTGCAGAGCCAAGATGCGTGTTAAACAACACAATGTCGATGGGAAGTGGTACGTGCACCAGTTTGATGATGTAAACACACATGAAACGATCCCCAGAGAATTTAGACACTACATGAAAGGGAAACGTCGTATGAGTGATGCAGTCAAAGCAGCGATAAATTTTAGAAGAGCTGCAGGTATGAAAACTTCTCAAATTGTGAATCTGGCCGTATCAGAAGCAGGAGGCTACGAAAATTTGGGGTACACGAGGAAGGATGCATATAATTATGTGGACAAAGAGAGGAAAGAAAAAATTAGTGAAGGTGATGCCGCAACAGCCCTAGCCTACCTGCAAGCTAAATGCACCGCGGACGAGCATTTCGTTATTGAACTAAAGAAGGATGACGACGACCGGCTTATTAACATTTTCTGGGCCGATAGTATTTCTGTTGCTGATTATGCATGCTTTGGTGAATTACTGTCATTCGATGCTACTTACAAAAGGAACATTTACCAGATGCCTCTCGTGATTTTTTCAGGTACTTTTCCTTCAAACATAGAATTATCCCGAGCATGCTAAAATAACCCTAGAAGTTTGCATAATCTAACTTTGTTTGAACTTTTTTAGGTGTCAACCACCATTTGCAAACTTGCGTATTTGCATGTGCTTTCTTGGCTAACGAGAGAGAGGACAATTATATTTGGGTGTTGGGAGCTTTGAAGAGAAGGCTAGGCGGTGTAGATCCCAAGACTGTTATTACAGATGGGGATAGAGCAATGCGTAATGCTATTCAGAAAGTATTTCCCGATGCAACACATCGTCTATGTTCCTCGCATATAGACAAGACTATAACCATAAATGTGAAGAATCATCCTACTTTTTTGCCCCGATGGAAGCATTTTGTGTCAGCTGACTGAGAACCTTCAGAATTCGAAGAAAAGTGGAAAACAGTGGTTGAGGAATGCTCCCTTCAGCACAACAATTGGGTCTCCAATTTATTTGACCAAAGACATGAATGGGGGTATGCATATTTGCGTTCGAAGTTCTTCGCAGGCTTGAGTACAACATCAAGATGTGAAGGACTGAACTCTCAACTTGCCAATTATATCGAGAAGGATAAAAATCTCCTTGAGTTCTTTATTCACTTTGATCGTTGGACTAGGGATATGAGGGAGAATGAGCGTCATGCTGATTTTGAATCCATTCATCGAGAACGAACCATCACAAGCAATGTCTTAGTCTCACTTCAGAAGAGTGGAGCGGCGGTTTTCACAAAGAACGCATTCTTCTTATTCAGAGACGAGGTTGAAAAGTTGGCATGTTGCATAAGGTTGGAGACAGAGCGATCGGAAATTGAGCATGTGTACAAGGTCAAGGTGTCTGGCATGGCTAAGGTTTTTCAAGTCACGTACGCAGTTGAACCCTTTGCAATGGAATGTAGTTGTAATCACTACAATTATATGGGAATACCATGTCGTCATATGATTTTTGTACTGAAAGAAGAGAGCATACTGGAACTTCCTGAAGTCCTAGTACGTCGAAGATGGTCAAAGAAGCCGAAGACACTAGAGAGCTTGGACGAACCGGGCAGACTAGATGAATCACAACTTTTCGCATTGAGGTTTGCCATGACTATCACTTTTAATGTTTTTTTTTAGTATTGGTTCGAAGCTAGGTGAACATTAATTTTACTCACTTTGTATAAAATCTTGTGTCAATCAGGTATGGTACTATTCAACAACACAGCTTACAACTAATGTTAAAAGGGGCAAAATCTAGTGAGTGCTTCAAGATTGCTCGTGAGGGAATTCAATCATTATGTGAACAGTTGGACATGGTGGACACTGGCAACGTGGACATACCCGGCATTAATAGGCCGAAGGCGAATGAAATTTTGTTGGATCCATTACAAGTCAAAGCTAAAGGTTCGGGGGCTAAAAAATCTAAACGGCAGAAAGGAGAACCACGACAGTGTAGCAATTGCCAGGAATTTGGCCACTATAGGACCCGATGCCCACATCCTGTTGGCTATGTGAAGCCAAACTCAAACGGTGATGCCCCGAATGATGGTGTTTCGGAAGAAGGTGGCGGTGGCGATGACAACGATGTTGATCCTCCCACCACTCAAGATCAGTCAGAAACAGTACAGAAGAGAAGGCAAAAGCATTGCAGTAAGTGCGGTTCTACCAATCATAATGCAAGAACGTGTACTGGGTCTGGACCATCCGATGATGAAAATGACGATGACGACGATTATGAGCAACCTACTTAACAAAGCATACATTTTGACATTTTTAGTGTCTTTGAATAAATTGATGCTAATCATTTCAGGATTCCGTACGTACTTCTTATTGTGCCCTCTGACTATAATTTGTTTCGATAATTATTGATATTTTTGTGGATAATATTAACAACGTGATTTAATATAATGACTTTTTTTATTAGTAATTGAATAATTTGATTCTTTGAGTACCAACTAAAAAGTACTTACAAAAATTTCTATGATTGTATATGTTATTATTATTATTATACGGATTCATGATTCACCTTTGAGTTGTGGACAAAACAACCGAGACTGACTTTGTTGTTATCGATCGTATTGGAGCTCGATTTTCTGTAATGTTGACTGAGAGGCTATTCCAAGACCATGATAAAGTGAGAGGACCTCCACTTGCTCATCCCCTACAAATTAAGGATTTGTGTTAAATTTCAACATCAATCTTACAGATTACCACATTTTTTACCCAACAAACTGAGTAAATGGTTTACAAGACCGGGAAGGATGAGGAAGAACAAACAACATTCTTCACTTGATTGAGGTAAACCTTACTTGCGTGAAAATGAATATCAATATTAATTACAAGGTTATGTTATTCTCTATTGGATTTTGATTGTATTAGTAACATGCACCGGTGTAATATTTCATTTGGTATTGCATTTGATTGTGTCTGTCATCCACTAACTATAGTGCTATCAACTGTATACATCTTCCATTTGTAAAGCTATCAATTCTTATACCATGTTTTTCTAATGATACTTGGTTTTATTCTTTAATAGTATACAAATGCATGTTGTTTATAACTTCAAACTCCAACAGAACTTTACTTAATCTCCCTCTAACATGGATGAAAATGTAACCAACTATAATTTTTACTCCAATATATATTAATCACTTATGATTTTATAATACCCCACCATATGTTGTGATTTTGAATGTCAATAATCTAAATTAATGATGTTGGAGGTAATGAATCTGATGGTAGAGATGATGTTACTGTTGAAAATAAAAGAAGACAATGTTCTTGAGGGAGATACAAGTACAGGTGATGCGGAGCAAGACCACACTGTGGAAGTTTTTGATTATTTGGACAAGGTAAATTATACTAAAATAAACTATATTATTTGTATTTGCAAAAAAAAAAAAAGTGTTAGATGAAATGCACGAAAACAACTAAGTGACTATTGAAATGCAAGAGAATAAAGAAAAAAACAAAATGGATATAAATGTTCACAAAGGGATATGAATATATTGTTATTGATGGAGATGATTGTACTATTCAATATTTCATTTATGTCTCAACATATAATAGTTGTGTGTCATTTATGTCTTGACAATTTTGTTAACCGTTATAGATAACGCTTGACTAGACGGTGGTCAACTTGATATTGACTTAGAAGCGAAATTGATAGAATGACTAAGATGATTAGGGTATTTTTATAACTTTTTTTTTCTTATTTTTCGTATTTTATATGAGAATACAAATAAAAATTAAGATTTAGAATTCCATATCAGATGCCACGTCGACACTAACTGAATTTTGTGTTAAATGTTGACGATCAAACTCGGTCAACATTAACGGAAAAATAGTCCAGTACATAAATGTTATATTGAATAGTTTGGGACACAAGTGACACTTTCTTGATAGTTCGGATTTTCCAGTGGTATAAGCCCATTTTTTTATGCTACCAATTATTTTGAATGTTTAGAATATTTGAATTTATACCATATACTACCAAATAAACATGTATCTCACATATTAATTGCTACTATATAGTTTATATGATTGGCGAAATGTATCCGGCCAACTGGCCGGGCTCAGGACTAGTATTTAGTAGATTAATTGGATTTGGAGCCCCTTTTCGTTTCGGTGGAGATCCTTCCTAGCTAACTCTTGTATTGTTATAGACGTCTAATGTTTTTTCTGGGAATTTGGTTTATTGATAAATATTTTTCTAGTATTTATATGTAGAATTCGTTGACCAATTGTGATTGTTGTTTGGCTTGTTGGGACTTGCTGCTCCCTAGTATCTCCAGAATTTGATCCTAATTCATCATCATATATATCATAAGAACAGAACCTATATTCATTATTTTACAAAACAAATTCAATATATTATTTCAAACCGAACCGTACGTAAGAAATCATTAGCTTCTGGTGCCCATGCAAATCTAATACAAGAAATCAGCACTATATAAGAAGAGAGAGCCGTTCTCTGTTTGGTCAATAACTCAACCCCATCAGCAATGGCAAACCTGCAGCTCGGAGAGTCTTCCCATTTCTCCTCCTTCCAGCTCTCCATCCCCTTGACGATCACATTGGCCACCATCCTTCTAACCTTCATAATCCGAATTGGGCTCGGATTAAGATCCAGCAGCCCAGCCAGATCCAAGAAGAAACCACTCCCACCAGGCCCATGGAAGCTCCCGATCATCGGAAACATCCACCAGCTGGCAACCTCCCCGCTGCCGCACCACCGCCTCCGAGACCTGGCCCAGAAACACGGGCCAGACCTCATGTACCTCCAGCTGGGCCAGTTGGCCCACGTCGTGGTCTCCAGCCCGGAAGCCGCCAGAGAGGTGATGAAAACCCACGACCTCAGCTTCGCCTCCCGGCCCAACCTCCTCGTCTCCGACATCGTCCTGTACGGCCGCATCGGGCCCTACGGCGAGCACTGGCGCCAGATGCGGAAGGTCTCCGCCGTCGAGCTGCTCAGCGCCAAGCGGGTCGGATCCTTCCGCCCAATCCGCGAATCCGAGGTCGCCAAGCTGGTCGCCGGCATCACGCGCGGCGGAGCGGCGGGGGATGTCGTCAACGTCAGCCGGATGCTGGCGGCGACATCCAGCGGGGTGACTTTCAGGTAGGGGCCGGCGGAGTCAGACATTTAAATGAGAAGGCATATTTTCAATCGGGTTAAAGCTTTAGCGACTAATTATTTGGTTTTATTTGTACAAATTTAATTTACCTGTATTAATTTTAAAATTGAGTCCGTCCGTCATAGTCTCTCAATGAATTTAGCCACTACTTTCAGGGCGGCGTTTGGGATGGAGAAGGAGGTGAAGGAAGCCCTGTTCGTGAAACTGGTGACGGATGTTACCGACGCCGTGGCGGCTTTCCGGGTGTCGGATCTATACCCGTCTCTGAAGTTCCTGCCGTCGTTGACCGGGTACCGTGCTCACCTTACGAGGATGCATTTGGCGGCGGATGAGATGCTCGAGGAGATCATTAGAGAGCATAAAGTAAAGCGAGAAGGAAGGAAGGATTTAGATGGCGGCGGTGGTGGTGATCAACATCAGACGGAGGACTTAGTTGATATTCTTCTCAACCTTCAGGAGAGCGGTGGGCTTGGATACCCCATCACCATCAATGACATCAAAGGTGTCATTTTCGTAAGTAGAACAATTACCACTCAACAAATCCCTTTTTCTTTTCAAATGTTAGTTAGGTATGCACTTAATGACAATATATTTTTGTCTTAGGAGGTGTTTCTAGCCGGTACCGAAACTTCAACCAGAACGGTAGAGTGGACTCTGTCGGAGATGATAAAGAATCCCAGAGTGATGAAAAAAGCGCAAGAAGAAGTGAGACGAACTTTTGGCGGAGAAGGAGTTGTCAAGGAAGAAGGTCTTCACGAGTTGAAGTACTTGGACTGTGTTATTCAAGAAGGTTTGAGGTTGCATCCGCCGCTGCCTCTACTACTCCCTAGAGAGTGTCGAGAAAGGGAAGAGATATGTGGCTATGAGATTCCGGCAAAGACGAAGGTCCTCATTAATGCTTGGGCTATTGGGAGAGACTCTCGTTACTGGACGGAACCTGATAAATTCTATCCCGAGAGGTTTATGGATTCCTCGCTCGACTATAAAGGAACGAAATTCGAGTTCATTCCATTTGGCGCTGGCAGGAGGATATGCCCTGGAATTTCGTTCGGCGTGGCTCTCGTGAAAATTATGCTCGCGAATTTGATATACCATTTCGATTGGAAACTCCCGGGTGGCACAGAGCCTGAAAGTTTGGACATGACGGAACAATTCTCAGCATCGGTTAGAAGAAAACATAGTCTATCATTGATTCCCATTTCATATGATGCAATCTCACCCCGAAAGACCAACTGAACAATATGCGAGATAAAGAAAGAGAAGACATATTGGCCCTACTTACTTATGCTCAACTTATTTTTCAGTTTCTACTTTTGTGTGTCAGTCAAGTCATATAGTTCACAAAAGTCAGATGATTGACTAATGTATTTGGACTTGATTCAGTTATCTATATAATAAATATTTGGGGCTGTGTCTATCTTACCGTTTTGCATCGATTATGCATAATACTATTGATTATTAGGATGCAAATACATAAACTTCAGTCAAATTTTTGAAATTTACATAATTAATTTTTAGTGCATATAGCATAATGGATGACAACATAAGCATACGTTGTGTTTTCCATCGAATATCATTTCCCTTAAAAATACCACATGGACAACTTTGGCCCCAAACATAATAGATAGTTATTATTAAATAGTTTGTGATTAGTAGTTGGGGGCGAGGTGATCATCCAATACTTGATTACCATCTAACATGACTACCATGCCAACCACTATGCCCATATGTAACCATCTGTCCAACCCCATGGTAACCATCTAACCCTTAACTGAATTGTAATATCTCATTTGGCACGGATACCATCAAAATCTTAAGTGGCTGTTACCATCTCATCATACATGATAACTATCCAATCCTTAGAAGGACGATACCATCCAATCACTAGGTTGGTGCATCAAAGTTCGTTTTGGTTACCATCCAAGCTCTACATGGAAGGTACCTAATATCATCCATTCTCTTAACATGGATATCATTCCAAATACTATATGAATGTGGGAATTCCATATCATGAATATCATCTATAACCTAATTGAATGCCAACATCCAGTCTCATGGTTGTCGTCGATTTTGAAATGATGATTTGGTGGATAGTTACTTTATATGACATATTGACGTGTCTCAAGACTTCCTTTGATAGCTATCGACTCACGTGGAGACTACGTTGAATGAAAATCATCTCGAGTATATAATGGGTGGTTACTATGACAACTGACGCGTGGATGCTACGTTGGAACTAATTTTGGGGAAGAGGAGAGAAGGAGAAGTCCAATAGCTCTTTACATAAACTAGGGGTTGTGGCCGCGCTTTGCACTTTGCAGCGGCGCTTGGTTGTGGCGTGGCAACTATTTTACAATCCGGTTCACTTTCGCTTATCTCTATGTTCTCCCTCTTGTATGGATGTGTCCGGCTAGAGGGACTCAAAATGAGTCTCCTAATGCATTTCCCTTTCCGCACGCATTATCGTCCCCAACGGTTATTTGTTGGCTCACTCTTGAAGACGAAAAAGAGGGACCGTCATAGACATGTCTAGATTTTCCCCTTATCATGGCTGACTATTTTGGTGAACATTCTGATAAAATACATTACAATCTTCAAGTAAAATAGATAACATCCTCGTTAATCACTCCCTCGCATTAATCCTCCTCAATCAACAACTAATCCACTCAAATATTCATTTTGGGTCCAATAAAAGTGAAATAAATATGTAAATATCGACCTTAACATTGCTTTGTAACAAATTCCAACATCCAATCCTTGACACCTTTGCATCAGAACTGGTCACTATCATCAATGTTATCTCCGTCGAACTTTCTGATAGGTTGCATATCAATCTCTCTAATTGAAAGGAAATAATTGAAGAAGACACCTAATCAGAATAATAGAAAATGGGTATGGCACCTGATTCTCCGATCTCCTCCTGTATTCCTCACATGGTGACTTGATCATCGAGTGAATCTTCCCTGGTCAAAGCAAAACAAAAAATCACAAAATACATCTCTCTGAAATCCACTTTGTTACCTCTCTCCCTACCCACCTCCACCATCTTCTGCTATCGACAACAGCAGCTAGAAACACGCCACCGACGCTAGCAGCTAGAAACACTCCCAAACTAATAATCTTCAAAGACACCTTATCCAACCCACTAAATCTCCTTATCGGCTTACACCCAACAAAGATCATTGTTCCTTCAGTGGGGTCAAAAGCCAAGGACTCACGGAAAAGAGTCTCCGCCATGGACTGTAGTTTCTCTTCCATAAGTATAAAATTTTATTGCGTCATGAAATTTCTCCTCTCCCTAGACTCCCTCTCTAGTTTGAACATTCAATTGGCCAACATTTTCCCCTCTATATTGGAGTTAGATATTTTTATTGGATATTCCGTTGGAGCTCGATATAGAGGCAAAGAAAGAAAAAGAAGAGCAAATTTTTTCCCCGAAAGAACATCGACGGACCAAACCAGATGGAAGATGAAGGGCTAGCAGTAGGGATGGCAATTTTGACTGACCCGTTCTATTGACTGTTTGACCCTATTTTTGGGTGGGTCATACGCATGTGGGGCGGGCAAGGTTATTCTCCTCGACCGGGCCCACAACATTCTTTACCCGTTTTATGTTAAGTTATATGTAATTTTTAGCTATAATAAAGTAGGAAATAAGTGGTATTCTCAATTTCTCGAATAATTTAACTACATTTATCATGTTATAGTTTATTTTTTAATTTTATTAATGACAAATTAATTTTGCTAATGTTTACCCCTTACATTACATATCCGTGTGGGTCGACCTGTCCCAATTACCTGACCAGAACCCGATCTGCCAAGGATTTGGTAAGGGTATATAAATATACCCTCCCGTCTTGGCACATTACCCTTAAATTACACATTCGTGTGGGTAGACCTGCCTCAACCCGCGCTTCATAATAAATTACCTAACCTAAATCGACATATCATAGAGCGGATATAGATATAGAGATATCCTCCCCACCTGACGTATTGCCATTCCTAGCTATAGAAATACCCTACCGACGTGGCGTACTGTTATTCCTAGTTCTATAAAAATTGAGATATTCGAGTCTTGAGGAGACTGGCCCAAAGTTCTAGTTACTAACCTAGGTTGTAAAAAAAAAGTTAAGAGAAAATTACAAATAATACCCAAAAAAGTCCAATTATGAAAACAACCTAAAACGTATGAACCCACTATGACCCAAGTCAAGAAAACCCAAAGCTCAAATTAGCAATGGAGCCGGCAAACCATGACTGTCACCCAAGCAAAAATAACCCACAAGGTAAATTAACAAAGCTCTTGTGCAACCGTAACCTCTCTTTATGACTTTAATGATATTAGGAAGTTTGAAGTAGTTTCATGGGGAATGACAAACAAGTCCACACATAGAACCATTTTTCTCGTTTATCCCTTTCTTCCCTTCCTCAGTAACCATAGATGCGGAGCTCTCGTTCTATGAAGGATCTTCAAAGTCGTAGTTGTAAACTTGTAGTCGCAAAGCTCTAAAGGAATCTCCATATAAGAGTCGCAATAAAAATAACATAGATTCCTTTGTATGTATCAAACACCCTCGTTCAAATAGAGTTACGTTTTAAGAGATGTGAATCATAGTAACCATTTCCTCTTAAAAAGGAGTTAGAGTGCATCCCGTCCACCTAATTTTCACCGTCAAAATATTGTTGTCATAAGCATTCTTAGTTTTATACATGGTTATATTAGGTTGTCACTTGTTAGACGATCACAAGTCACAACTGACAATCCATACAAGTCATTGAATTTTTTTGAGAATGTTATTAGTCTAAGGACGCAGAATAAAATTTCGGAGATTCTTAAAGAATAGTATGAAGTAACAATCCAAGCATTACATACCTACCATTGAATAGTGTGTACTAGACTTGTTAGAAGATCACAACAGACAATTCATACCATAGCTAGATACCATATTCTCTTCGGGCTCCAAATTTTGCTCGTTAGAATTATAATACATGTGAAGGAAGATGAAAAGCACGTTCGATCATTTGTTTCAATCACATTCTACGCATTGGCTTATTTAGTGAATGTCTTTAGTCTAAGAACGAAGAATACAATTCTAGAGATTCTTAAAGGAGTAGTAGAAGCAACAAGCCAAACATAACATACCTACTACTAGATAGTGGGTACTGGACTTGTTAGACGATCACATGCATCTGAGTTCTGACACAATCCATACTAAATCGTTAACTTCTTTTGTGAATGTTATTAGTCTAAGGACAAAGAATAAAATTCTCGAGATTCTTAAAGGAGTAGTAGAAGCAACAGTCCAAGCACAAGATACCTACCCATTAGTATTTAAAGGATGTTTAATTATGTTTTATGACCTATTTAATTTAGTATTGTCTACGTACCTTTATTTAATTTTCATGAAACTAGAAGACATGCCTTTCAAAACAAATAGATTAGTAGGTGATCATAAACTATGTACTAATAGATTAGTAGGTGATAAACTATATAATAGGGGCCGTTTGATTTTTTCTCATAGTTTTGGTGAGATTGTTACAATGAGTGCATTGTTGATAATGTATCGTTTTTCTGGATTTTTTTTCCTCCAACAATGCATCCATTGTTTTGTTGATGTGGTGGAAAGAATCACTCAAAATGAGTGATATTACTATCTCATGTAAAACTTGAGATTGTTAAGATTGTTTGGTTCTTTTTTTGGCCGGCGACGGAGGAACGGTGCCGGCGACGGAGACACTGGGCTCGTCGACAAAAGTGTTTTTGTTGGAATGAGTCAAATGTTAATGGTATCTGAATTTAAAGAATGGAAGGAAGGGAAGGAAGGGAAAATTCAAAATTTGAATTCACATTTTTTTTTAGTTGGCGGTAAATAGCCGTTCACTTATCTATATCCCATAAAACTCTTGAAAATTTTATTATCTAAACCGCTCTCAATTTTTTCCGTGAACACCCATGCATAGTTGTTTCCATTTTTTTCATCAATGTCTATACCACCCTCTCAATTTAACACCTTCTCCCTTCAAAATTTCATCGTCGGTCTTCAACTAGTGTATGTATCTTCAAGTAGAATACATATGTCTATCTCCATTGCTTAAAGAGGGGTAGAATTACTACAAATCGGTGCTCATCTATAACCCTTAAAAACAAGGGTAAAAGTGATTCATACAAAAAAGAAATACAACTTTTTGAATGCTAAAATAATTATCACCAAAACCAAATAAGGTGAACTACATTACATCATTTTCCTTAATTGCATGTGTATTACAATATATACATTGATTATAATGCATTGATCTAAATATCATCAAAACCAAAAAACACCTTAAGTATAGTAAACAAACGACATAAGCATATACGTACATTGCCATTCTAGTTTATATTAGCTAGTCTGTTGGACTAATACACAATTGATGACGATCCATATGTACTAAGTTATTTAATTAACTTAATTTTATCAAGATTTCTTATTTCAAGGATGAAGAATCAAATGCTTAGGGATTCGTAAATGAGTAGTAGCAGCAAGAAGCCAAGAACAAGTTGACCAACGAAATGATATGGCTAATTAGCTTAGAGATTCTTATGAGTGGTAGCAGCAAGAAGCCAATAATCCATTGACCAACGAACTGAGGGTAGTTAATATGATTGCTTACATTTTATCCACAGGAACTTCATATGGCTATGGAGACTGTTCTGGCGGTTTGAATTTCGAAGGGTTTCTCTTCAATTAGACACCACATGAGTACTGCTAGCAAAATAGATTGCGTCGTCTGAAAAATTATCGACCAAACCAGATTGCACATTTTGATCCGGATTATACAACATCTATAACAGTTTGAATTGGTTTATGATGTTTATTATATATCGAATGTTTTGATCTTTTGTTCCGGTCGGGTCCAAAATTGTGGTTAATTATTAGACCAGATCATTGACCTAATTGATAACTTCTCAATTCGTGTTAGCATAGCAGCCCACTCAATCACTCTCTGATGAGATCCAAGGCTCAACCCTAATTTTTGTGAATTCAATCCCCTTCTTCATTCAGAAATCACACATTGCAAGAAAGTATAGACGATCGCATTTTCATATATGAAATTATATTAATATGTATGGCATATTGGAGGAAGTTGAATTGATATGACTTTGTGTTTTTGTTATTTATATAATATTTAAGTTACCAAAACTATGCATGCGTGGTGGAAATTAGGTTTAAGGTAAAAGATATATTTCTTCTTTGATTATTGGTTCGATTTTCGGTGTGACGGACCAAGTAAATTATTCATTTGTTACTCAATATGTCATTTCTGATTTGTACTGGACTCAACTGCACAAGCATGATATGATATCTGTACCCTATAATATTTTATCTAGTTTCGTATTTGTATTCCATTCTTTCGATCTGACCCATCAACCATATATGTGGTCCAATCTGAATCGAACCACACCATTTTCCAACTCTACTTCACATCAGCAATATAGGTGGAGATGAAGGAGCCATTACACCAACATAGTACGTAGTCTCAGTACTTCAGCCTAGGGACTGGTCTAATTGAAGGGAAACCTATGATTATATTTAATATGCACGAGAAATGCAAAAAGAACCACCACCCACCATGCTATATAAGGGAAGGCAGTACTCTCAGGATGTGAATAAGCAAACCCACCAAACCTCCATCAAATATCAATAATGGCTATCCTGAGACTGGAAAATTACGTCTCCTCCACCCAAACCCAACTGTCCACAGTTCCCTTGATCACCTTCGCCATCATCCTCCTAACATTCGCAATCCGACGCAGATCATCACGATCAAAATCCAGCACCACCAAACCATTACCACCGGGGCCATGGAAGCTCCCGATCATAGGCAACCTCCACCAACTCATGACCTCCCCGCTGATCCACCACCGCCTCCGCGACCTGGCCCAGAAGCACGGCCCACACCTCATGCACCTCCAGCTCGGCGAGCTCTCCCACGTCGTCGTCTCCAGCCCGGAGGCCGCCAGAGAGGTGATGAAAACCCACGACCTCAGCTTCGGGTCCAGGCCCAACCTCCTCGTCTCCGACCTCGTCTTGTACAGCGTCATGGGCCCCACCAGCGACCACTGGCGCCAGATGCGGAAGATCAACTTCACGGGCCTGCTCGGCCCCAAGCGGGTCGCCACCTACCGCCCCATCCGGGAGTCCGAGGTCGCCAAACTGGTCGCCGAGCTCTCTCTGCGGCGGGGCGCCGCGGTCGACGTCAGCCGGTTCCTGTCGGGGGTGTTCGGCGGGGTGACTTTCAGGTAAAGGTGACAAAATAAAGTACACAACTATAATTTGCCAACAATCTATAAATTCGATCAATAAATCCACCGATTCAATTGAAATTGGATAAAATGAATTGAATTTAAATGGATTGGATTCGTTGGATATTTATATCTGATTAATTGAATTGAATTGACGGATTGAATTATAAATTGCCACCTCTACTTTCAGGGCGGCGTTTGGGATTGTGAAGGACGTGAAGGCGGAAGCACGGTTCCTGGAGCTGGTGGAGGGTGTGACGGACGCGGTGGCCGGTTTCCAGATCTCGAACCTGTACCCGTCGCTGAAGTTCCTCCCGACGCTGACCGGGTTCCGGGCTGAGCTCACTAGGCTGCACCTCGCGGCGGATCGAATGCTCGAAGAGATCATCGGCGAGCAGAAGGCCAAGCGGGTTGCCAGAAGGAAGGAATTTGGGGATGATGATAGTCAAGCGGCGGCGGAGGAGAATCTGGTTGATGTCCTTTTCAATCTTCAGGAGAGCAGTGACCCGGCGCACCCCATAACCATGCACGACATCAAAGGCGTCGTCTTCGTAAGTAGAATCACCAGTTACACATATGTTTTTCGTATAATTAGTACCTACGTTATTTTTACTTTATCTATGAACTAAATAGTTATGTCCATAGAATACGAAAAAAGTGAACTATGATAGAGTGTGATCGTTCTCTCTTACGTACCCTTCTTATACTTTGATGTTTTTCTTCCAATTAGGAGACGTTCTTAGCAGGTACTGAGACAGCAACAAGACCCGCAGAATGGACTCTCTCTGAAATGATTAAAAATCCGAATGTGATGCAAAAAGCACAAGAAGAAGTGAGGCAAATGTGTGCTGGAAAAGAATTTGTTAGCGAAGAAGATCTTCACAAACTGAAGTATCTGGATTGCGTTATTCAAGAAGGTCTGAGATTGCATTCATCCCTTCCATTGCTTCTCCCCAGAGAAAGCAGGGAGAGGGAGGAGATATTCGGTTACGAGATTCCTGCCAAAACCAGGATCATCATCAACGGCTGGGCCATCAACAGAGATCCTCGTCACTGGACCGATGCAGATAAATTCTATCCTGAAAGGTTTTTAGATTGCTCAATTGACTACAAGGGAACAAACTTCCACTTCATCCCATTTGGCGCTGGGAGGAGGATGTGCCCTGGAATATCATTCGGCATGTCTGTCGTGAAGTTGCTGCTTGCGAACTTGATCTATTGTTTTGACTGGAAGCTCCCAAACGATGCGAACCCCGAGGATCTGGACATGACGGAATATTTTTCTGCATCGGTTAGGAGAAAATACAATTTGTCCTTGATCCCTATTCCATATGAGGGGATGAAGCATTGAAAAGACCAACAATGGTGGAGTAAAGAAAAGGGAGAATGTACATCAATGCTTGTATGTTCTTGTAGTTCTGTGTCTATCTTGTGTTGGTTTTTACATTTCCTGTTTCCTAGATGTTTGGAAACACCTCTCTTTTGAAAGACAATACTTAAACTATATATTTCGTATGAAGTATGAAATAAATGTGGGATCTTGTTATGTGTTATACTGTTAGTTATGGATCTCCATTTGACATTTGTCCATGATCTTTCATTGTGAATATTAGTGTTAAGTAGAGCACTGTCGACCAACGCAATTTATCCCCTTGGCCGGTGTTTATACTTCCAAATCTCTTTTCGACCATGCATGGACCGTGAAAAGCCTACATAGGATTGAATGTCCCTTTAATTCCCTAATTATCTCTCCCCAATTAACTCCGTATTTTTTCATCACCTCTCCCCTTATATAATACTTTAAATTCCCATTTTAGGCAATCAAATTAGTATGGACGAGCCAATTGCATGGCCATGGCAGGAGATGTCATGATTTTCTCAATTAGGTGTGAGGTTCCGACACCCATTCTAGACATTTTTACGGAGTGCGGATCCCATGACTAGCAGGTATTTAGTCACTTGGCTAAGCCCCTCCCAGCCCTTAAATTTAGACACAACGATCTTACGGTTAAAAAGTTGGAATGACTATTTAATTAATGACAGGGGTAGTTTGGGTATTATGGAAAATTACGAAGTATGCAAACCGAACTTACAATCAGTACAAACCATACAAATATACAAACAGTACAAACTACAACGACAAAACATACAAACAAATTTACAAACATTACAGACGTATGAACTGTACAAACAATACAAACTAGACCGACAAACAATACAAATCATACAAAAAAGAAAAAATAACCGGGTTGACTTTGGAGGCTCCATCCCTATATAGAGGCTCCGTCTCAAAGTCAACCCGGTTGTTTTCTAGACATACACAATACGAACATGGTGGACAAAAATAAAAAACTAGACCGACAATCCATACAAACTGGAAAAAACACCCGAGTTGACTTTGGAGGCTCCATCCCTATATTGAGGGCTCCGTCTCAAAGTCAACCCGGTTGTTTTTTAGACATACAAACATTACAAACATGGTGGACAAAAATGACAAACTAGATCGACAATTCATACAAACTGGAAAAAACACCCGGGTTGACTTTGGAGGCTCCATCCCTATATAGAGGAGCTCCATCCAAAAGTCAACCAGGTTGTTTTTTAGGCATAAAAAACATTACAAATATGGTTGGCAAAAATGATAAACATGGTGCACAAAAATAACAAAGTTTACAAACATTACAAAAGAAACCGACAAACATTACAAAATAACAAAAAAGCGTACAAACATTACAAAATAAACCGACAAACAATACAAAGCATACTAACCGTACAAAATGTCACTAAAAATGACAAACAAGAATAATAAACAATACAAACCGAATCTATACAAACATTACAAAATAGATCACCAAACATCACAAATCCAACACTGTCGTCGGAAAGTCCCCTTCGGTCGCCGGAAAGTCTCCTCTGGTCAGTAGAAAAAATCTCTCTCTCTCTCTCTGGAAAATATTCCTGGTGGGGGGAAAATATTCCCAGGCCACCTCCACTTCTGTGGAATAAAATTTCCCAGGCCAAAAGGAAGATGGAGGGCGGCGGAAGAACCGTTGGGCGGTGGAGAAAATCATTGAGCGGCGGAAAGAAACGGAAGGGAGGTAGGAGGCACCAATAATTATTATTTAATTGTTAATTGTTAAATAAATAAGATATAAAATTACTACTCTACCCTTTATTAAATTAAATTATTTAGAGCCATTAGATTTAAATGAGGTTGGATGGTTGAGATGCAGTACTTAGTCACATGACTAAGGGGACCCCTTAGTCACCTAATCTTGACCCCATTTTTATGGACTTGTCAGGAACTGGGTTGACCAGTCGGGTGAAATAGATCTGCCAGGAATTGGTGACGAAAACAAGTATCAGGAGGAACCCAGTGACGCCTCCGCTCTCGGACCCGATCAAAACTGGCTGCTTTGACCAACCAAATAGACCGGCTGCTTTGACAGACTTGGCTCTCAAGCTGGTAGATGGATCCAACGGTTGTCATAATACCATTAAGCTGGTAGATGGGCCCAAGGGCCTACAGTGAACCCAAGTTTGTGGGCTCTGTGCTCCAATTTTCAATGGCTCTCGTATCAATTCATTGAAAACATAGAATTTTTTTTCTTAAACTATGCCTTGAATTTCTGTATGCTCCTAAACTCCAAATCGGATGTTGGTGTGAGTATATGCTGGAGTATATGGAAGAAAAGAAACCGCAGGATCTTTGATGGGGTGTCCAACACTGAGTATGAAATTGCATTCAAGATTGGTTGTCTCATTACCCAGTGGTTGTCAGTCGCTGGCAAGGTTGATAAAGAGGTTGCCGAGGAATGGCTTATGACCCTGAAGAGCAAAATTGTTGGTGTGAGGGTTTCAAGTTTGACAGGGGCAAATGCTATCTAATCTGCTTATGCAGCTTTGTTTTCTTTTCTACTTGGCAGTGTTTTTTCGTCTTCCTCTGGGTGGTTGCTTTTAGCTCTTTACGCTGTAAGTCTATTTAGGTTGTTCTGAGGTTTCTTATTGTTTTGGGGTTTCTCTTTGTTCTGTTTTTTCCTGTGGTTCTTAACAAATTGATGTCAACATTATAAAAAAAAACTCCCATTAAAATACTCATTAACTTACCAGGGTGAACAAATGAACATAATATGATTAAAACTATGTAGCATGGATGCATATGAAATAAAAATATCAAATTTTGCAGGCAATGTTGAAATGATTCTTGGATCTTAATAGGTTTTTCTCATTCATATATTTAAAATGGATGAACAAACTTTATAAACCTAAGTTTTTTTTTTGTAAAATCGTATCAAACATCAAACTACTGTAGTTATTATACAAGTATTCATGGTGTATCCCCAAGAAATAGTGATAAAAACTGCGATAAAGTCGAATCAATGGTCTTTAATAAGTAGTTCAACCTTCACGGTTAATTGAAATTTGATAGTTTCAAACACTAAACTCCAGTTAACCGTTTTAGTAATTTTTTACCATCCTCCTCATCATGGTGGTCATGTCGGTGGCATTGTCGGCCAGTTGAACCTGGTTGAACGGTGTCGGTCATGAAACTGACATAAACACCACTGGTATAGCTGGCATGATCGTTTTACAAACTCTAAGTAAAATGACTTTGTTTTTAGTAACTTCGATTGATAAAAAAATGAATTTCTTACATGCTTTACGAATATGAAAGTTAAAAATTAGGACTTTGCTACGATGACATGCATGTCACCGTGATATGGACTTTTCGGTCGACCTAATCCTAAAGCGGTCGACCGAATTGACTAATTCAGTTATGTGAGGTTCAGAGACGCGGTCGACCGTCTACATAAAATGGTCGACCTCTTTGGTGGTATAACATAATGAAAGGTCGACCCAAATACCTCATAGGCCGACCCTTGTGCACCTATCAGGTCGACCGCATTCGTAAGAGGTCGACCTCATGCATAGGGCTGTCAATTTGGTTTGGTTTGGTTAACCAAACCATTAAGTATGAAAAACCAAAAACCAAAAACCAAATCCCAAAAACCAAAACCAAAACCATTAAGGTCCTTATTGGTTTTTGGTTGCCAAAAACCAATAAGGACCTTAATGGTTTTGGTTTGGATAACCAAAAAATCAACATTTACTCATACACTCATATTTATTCTTATTTCCCTCCTTTTTATTGAATAAACGTCATAATAACGGTAAATGGACATTACAAATTATTGGTTGGCATGCGTGTCAAAAGAAACAAAAAAAAAATTGTTGATGAATAATATTTATTCTTATTGGTTTCTTAATGGTTTCTATTGGTTTTTCGGTTTTAACCAAACCAAAACCATTAAGTCGCTTATTGGTTTAAAACCAAAAAACTGAAACCATTAGCTTTCCAATTGGTTTGGTTTTGGTTAAAACCAAAAAACCAAAACCAAATGGACAGCCCTACTCATGCACACCGTATCCGTATTGGATAAGGATTCCAACACCAGAAAGATTCCACAATTGGACAAGAAAACGAATTGGGTCGACCCATTCACGTCCTAAATCTCTATAAATACGAATATAAGTCCCTTCAACGCCACCAAAAGTCTGAATTAGGTTTTTCCGATTTAGAGCCTTTGTGAAGAAGATCGTTCGCGGTTGCTGTTGTACGTGTTGAAAGTGGTCGACCACGTCGAAGGTGAGGTCGACCTAATGTAGCATTCGTCATCTTCTCTAATGCGTGATTTCCACCGTCTAATTTGATATAATTTTGCGTGCAAAATATCATTTGGTCGACCTTGACCTCAACCAGGTCGACTTGACGAGATAATTATTCGGAATTGAATTTAGGGCACAACACTTGGACTTCCGTATTTGCGAGGTAACAAAGATCAACCCAATAGGTCGACCTAATATGTTTCAAGGTCGACCGTTTCTGTTTGTTTTGGTTGTTCAACCTGAATGTCGACTTTGGCTTTGTTTGTAAGATTATGTTGTGCTTCAAAAGGTCGGCCGCTCAAGCTATCTGGTCGACCTATCCATTTTTCGGTTTAATATTGCACTTGCTTTTGTTGGTTAATTGTTATTTTCCTGCTGGATAGGTCGACCTAGGAAGATTAGAGGTCGACCTTAAAGGTTGTGGTAGTCACAATTTGTCTTTCTGGTCGACCTAATAATTTGTCAGGTCAACCACGTCTCTGTTTTTTGGTCAATTGTAGAAATTTGAAGTTGAATTATGATTTGAATTTTTTTAAATTGTTTAGACGATGACGCATGATGAGAGATTGCATCAAGATTTGGGTGAAATCATGAAAGTGTTGAAAGTCACACAAGAGCAGCGTGTTGAAAGCCACACAAGAGCAGCTGGTGGTGTGTCAAAAACAAGTCAATGACTTTCAGAAG